AAGAGAGAGGGAGAGAGCAAGAAATTAACCGGCATAGTATACTCTCTGTAAGCTCCCCATTTTACACACAAACTTGCGTTGTTAATCATACGTACTCACGGTTCTGCTGTTTGGGGCCAAAAACGTTTTTTTTTTTTTTTGGTTTCATACTCTCTGTTGGTGTTTTTCTATCGTATTCAGTGCAAAATAAACATGCGAGAGTAACGGTTCGTTAATAATTATACACACACAGAAATCAACTACTAGAAAAGAAAAAGAAGAAGAATTAGTAGAAAAAAACACGCTAAGAAACTGATTTTTGTTGTTAAATGGGCGGTGGTGTAGAGGTTTTTTCTTTAGTAATTTTCGGTCGTATTTTTCAAGAAGAAAATAAAGAAAATTTTCCGTGTTTTGTGGAAAAAAAAAATAATAAAAAGAAAATTTGTGAAAAATTTCTTAAAACAAAAATTGTGTTTATATAAGAAAATTATTAAGAAATTTAAGAAGAAAAAGTGAAAATTTATTTCATTTATAATTTCTTAATAAAACGTGTTTAAATAATTTATACAAAAAAAATATGTTAATTATTTAAATTAAATTATGCAAAAATTAAGTTAAAATATGTAAATAAAATTTAATACAAATTTTAAATAAATTTTAAACAAATTTGTTAAAGTAAAATAATACAAAATTTTGTTAAAATTAATAGAAAAAGGTAATACTTAAAATAAATCAATAAAAATGTTTAACAAATTAAAAAAAAATTCTAAATAAATAAAAAAACATCAGAAATATTTAAATAATTTGAAATATATTAAAAAAATCTAAACAAAATTAAAGAAAAAAGTGATAAAACATAAAAAAGTTTCAACAAATTAAAAGAAAATTTAGCAAAAAAAAAAAAAAAAAAAAAATTAACAAAACTGAAAAATTTAAACAATTTTAACAAACATTAAAACAAAACTATAAAAATGTACAAAATTTTCAAACAAATTTTCAAAATTTCAAAAGAAATTTTTAAAAATATAAATTTATTTTTAAATTTTAACAAAATTTCTGCAAAAATTTTAAAAAATTTAAACAAATACAATAATATTCTAACAAAAGTGTCACAAAACTTTAAGTTTATCAAAAGAAATATAAAAATGTTAAAAAAACTATAAAAATTTAAGAAAAAATCAATAAAATTAAGAAATTTATAAAAAAATTAAAGAAAATCGTCAAATTTTAAGAAAATTTCTCAATAACTAAGAAAATCTTGCAAAAATAACGAAATTTTTGCTGTTAAATAATTAATTTTAACTCGTTTTATCAATTTCTAAACAAAAATTTAAATTCCCAAATTTTTTAAAAAAAATCTCCTCTTGGGGGATTTTTGAAATAATTTTGGGAATTTGTTTTTTTGACTTAAAAATAACCAAAAATTTAATTCCTGGTTAAAAAACAGCAAAAATATTTAAATTTTCTTTAATTACAACTTCCCCGGTTTAGAAATTTCGTTAAATTTCTTAAAAATTTTCAAAAAATTCCATAAAATTGTGAAATTTCTACAAAAATTTAAAGAAATTTTACAAAAATTATGAAATTTTTGATGTAAAATAGTTAATTTCAACTTATTTTAGCAATTTCTAAACAAAAATTTTAATTCCCAATCTTTTTTAAAGAAATCTCCTTTTGGGGGATTTTTGAAATAATTTTGGGAATATGATTTTTTTGACACAAAACCACCAAAAATGTATTGCCTTTTCAAATTCAAGCAAAAACATGTAAATTTTCTTAAATTACAACTTCCAGGGTTAAGAAATTTTCTTAAATTTCATAAAAATTTTCAAAAAATTCCATAAAATTGTGAAATTTCTACAAAAATTTAAAAAATTTTACAAAACTAAAGCAAGTTTGGCTGTTAAATGGCAAATTTTAACTTATTTTATCAATTTCTAAACAAAAATTTAAATTCCCAAATTTAAAAAAAAATCTCCTTTTGGGGGATTTTTGAAATAATTTTGGGAAAATGATTTTTTTTTGACACAAAATCACTAAAAATTTAATTCCTTATTAAATTCAAACAAAAATATGTAAATTTTAACATCTCACCACTTCCCCAGTTTAAGAATTTTCTTAAATTTCATACAAATTTTCAAAAAAATTCCATAAAATTGTTAAATTTCTACCAAAATTAGAGAAATTTTACAAAACTAAAGCAAGTTTGGCTGTTAAATTGCAAATTTTAACTTATTTTATCAATTTGTAAACCAAATTTTTAATTCCCAAATTGTTAACAAAAATCTCCTTTTGGGGAATTTTTGAGAACTTTTTGGGAATTTGATTTTTTGACACAAAATCACTAAAAATTTAATTCCTTGTTAAAAAAACAGCAAAAATATGTAAATTTTCTTAAATTACAAGTTCCCCGGTTAAAAAATTTTCTTAAATTTCATAAAAATTTTCAAAAAATTCCATACAATTGTGAAATTTCTACAAAAATTTAAGAAATTTTACAAAACTAATGCAAGTTCGGCTGTTAAACGGCAAATTTTAACTTATTTTATCAATTTCTAAACAAAAATTTAAATTCCCAAATTTAAAAAAAAAAATCCTTTTGGGGTATTTGAAAACATTTTGGGAATTTGATTTTTTGACATAAAATCACTAAAAATTGAATTCCTTGTTAAAAAACAGCCATAAAATATCAATTTTAACAACTAACTATTTCCCCAGTTTAAGAATTTTCTTAAATTTCATAACAAATTTTAAAAAATGCAATAAAATTGCAAAATTTCTACAAAAATTCAAGAAATTTTACAAAACTAAAGCAAGTTTGACTGTTAAATGGCAAATTTTAACTTATTTTATCAATTTCTAAACAAAAATTTTAATTCCCAAATTTTAAAAAAAAACTCCTTTTGGGGGATTTTTAAAACATTTTTGGGAATTAAAGTTTTTTTGTTAAAATCAATAATGAATTGATTGCTTAATATGATTCCAGCAAAAATTTTACATCTTTTCTACTAATAACTTCCCCAGTTAGGGTTTTTTATTTTATTAGAGACTATTCTCAAGGTCAAGTCTTTTAAGGTGAATTTTCTTAGAATTTTTTACTAAAAGTTCTAGGTTTTTCAGTGATATTTTATTTATTTAATAACAAAGTTCATGTTTGTATTTTAATTATTTTGTATTTTTAAACTTTTTTTAATTAGTTTCTAAAACTAAAGTTTAAACTTCAATAGTTTTTGTGTTAAATTTCTTTAGAAACTTAAAATTTATGACCTCACTTTAAAAACAAATTAAAAAAAACTTTAAAAATCCATTAATTCAAGTCTCTTCTAAAGGAAATATACATAAATTTCATTTCACAGCCAAAAACTTAAAAGTCATTATTATAATAAAAACAACAAATACAGACGAAAAAAAAAGAATTGACAAAAATACATACATTATTAAAATAACAACAAATTACCAAAAAATAAAAATAAAAAACAAAATATCTAAAAACAGCAAATTATTGTTAATCACAAGTTCATATAATCAAACAAAAAAAAAAAAAACAACAACAAAAGTGTTAATAAAAATCTAATTAGTGTAAAGCAAAAAAACTGATAAAAAAAATATTGAACTGGGGAAGTTGAAATTTGAAGAAAATTGCAAAATTTTTGCTTGAAACCTATTGAGTATTCATTTTCTTCTTGATTTCAGCCAAAAAAATCAAATTCCCAAAACTATTTCAAAAATCCCCCAAAAGTAGATTTTTGTTAACAATTTGGGAATTTAAATTTTTGTTTAAAAATTGATAAAATAAGTTAAAATTAACTATTTAACAGCAAAATTTTTTTTATTTTTGTAAAATTTCTTTACTTTTTGTAGAAATTTCACAATTTTATTGAATTTTTTCAAAAGTTTTGAAAAATTCAAGAAAATTTCTTATGCGGGGAAGTTGTTCGATGTTAGAATTTACATATTTTGGCTTGCATTATACAAGGGATTATTTTTTGGTTGTTTTGCGTGAAAAAATTCAAATTCCCAAAATATTTTAAAAATCCCCCAAAAGGAGATTTTTTTTTAAAATTTGGGAACAAAAACTTTAATGTTTAGAAATTGATAAAATAATTTAAAATTTACCATATAACAGCAAAACTAGCATAACATTTGTAATATTTCTTAAATTTTTGTAAAAATTTCACAATTTTAATGAATTTTTTGAAAATTTTCATGAAATTTAAGAAAATTTCCAAAATTATTTCAAAAATTCCCCAAAAGGAGATTTTTGTGGACAATTTGGGAATTTAATTTTTTGTTTAGAAATTGATAAAATAAGTTAAAATTTACCATTTAACAGCAAAATTTGTTTAATTTTTGTGAAAATTTCATTAAATTTTGTAGAAATTTCAAAATTTTATGGAATTTTTTGAAAATTTTTATGAAATTTATGAAAATTTCTTAACCCGGGAAGTTGTAATTTAAGAAAATTTACATGTTTTTTTGCGTGAATTTGAGAAGGCATTAAATTTTTTATGGTTTTACGTCAAAAAAATCAAATTCCCAAAATTATTTCAAAAATTCCCCAAAAGGAGATTTTTGTGGACAATTTGGGAATTTAATTTTTTGTTTAGAAATTGATAAAATAAGTTAAAATTTACCATTTAACAGCAAAATTTGTTTAATTTTTGTGAAAATTTCATTAAATTTTGTAGAAATTTCAAAATTTTATGGAATTTTTTGAAAATTTTTATGAAATTTATGAAAATTTCTTAACCCGGGAAGTTGTAATTTAAGAAAATTTACATGTTTTTTTGCGTGAATTTGAGAAGGCATTAAATTTTTTATAATTTTACGTCAAAAAAATCAAATTCCCAAAATTATTTCAAAAATTCCCCAAAAGGAGATTTTTGTGAACAATTTGGGAATTTAATTTTTTGTTTAGAAATTGATAAAATAAGTTAAAATTAACTATTTAACAGAAAAATTTTTGAAATTTTGAAGAAATTTTTGAAAATTTGAAGAAAATTTTGAAATTTTTCAGATTTTCTAAAAAAAATCTCTTAAAAAGTAACAAAACTATAATATTAAATGTAATAAATTAAAATAAAAAAATGGCGCGCAAAAAGAAAGCTTTAAAAGACTTAAAAGAGCACAAAAATAATACAACAACAATAGAGCAAACAGCAGCAGCAGCATTACAAGATCCCAGCTCTCCAGTTATGTCACCCAAAAAGAGAAACAGTTTTGATGAGAATATATTACAACAGCAACAACAACAACAACAGCAAAAGTTTACACAATACCAAAGTGATGGTGAATTAATGGAATTAAAACAAAAATTAAATTTAGAAAAAAATAAATCAAATTTATTTCTTATCAAATCCTATTCTTTTATTGATAAAACCAATAATAAACGACCTTCATCGGTCATAAATGTTAAGGCCAAATTACAAGAATTTGATAAATTTCAACAAAAAACTCTTTCAACGGAACAAAATGTGGAAAAAGAAGAGAGTAAATCAAAAAGTAAAAAGTCCTCTAAGAGTAAACAGTTTCAAAAAGGTGAAGAGAAAAAGGAGAAACCCAAGAAACCTCCCAAACTTAAGAAAATGAAAAAATCTAAATCTACTCACGATTCTACGGAGAATTTGGAGGATTTTCAAGAGTTATTAAGGAAACCCTCAGTGATATTGGAAGATGAGGTTAAAACGGCGCAGGTGGCTAGGCCTCAGTCTTTACCAGTCTCTCAAAATCAACACAGATCGGTTATAAAGTCCAAAACTTTGGATGATATCGAGACGCCTCGTTTGAAAAGAGATTCCTTTATACGTCACAGTTTACAGTCTATACGTAGAAGTTTTTCCTCTTCCAAGAAACATAATAACAATATAAGCTTTACCTCTTCCTCCTCCTCGTCTTCTTCTGCCTCTAGCTCCTCCTCTGGCTGCTCTAACTCTTCCATACTGTCGGATTCTTTACGCAAAACGAAAACCAAAGATTTTAACAAAGATATAGGCAATTTAAAAGATATCGAGGACTCTAACTATCTCATTGCTGTGGAGGAGGAAGACTTCGTTGATGGTGTGGTTGTCTCACAACCCTGTAATGTTGTTATAACCCTAAATGATGCTCAAACTTTACAATCAAATCCTGTAAATACAAATACTCCTCAACCTCCCTCCAATTCATCTTTCTCCACATCCTATACAATGGATTCATTGGCTGTGCTTAAGGAAGAAGATGAAAAGGATTTATGCTCATGTTTTAATCCTAGCAATGGCGCCAGCTGTAATAGTAGCCCTCTTGCTACCAGTGTAAATAACCCCCCAAGGTAAGTAAGTACAATAACAAAAGACACCCCCCCCCTCGCCACTTTAGATTTAAGTAATCTCTTCAAACTTTTTTCCAAATGACTGCATATTTATGTGTTTTTTTTTTCTCTCGCACACACACGCCTTTCAATGACGCCTTAAATCCTTTTGAAAACTACTACAAAAAAAAAAAAAAAAAAACTTGAAAGTTCAAGGTCGAGAATTTGCTTTTGCCAAGCACCTGTGTATGAACAGATTTTTCTAGTATTTTTTTTTTTTCTAAAGAAAATTTACATTTGTTTTGAGAGGATTTGTTATCTGAAAAGGAAAAAAAATTTCATTCAAAAAGGATTTAGTAAGGATTTGAAACTAACTTCAAGGAAACTACTACTTTAAGGGAATAAAGCGAAAATTTTGAGTCAAAAATATAAAGGGAATCTGTTAGTTTTAATCTAGTTCTGTTCTAGTTCTGTTCTAGTTCAGTTCTAGTTCAGTTCTAGTTCAGTTCTAGTTCAGTTCTAGCTCAGTTCTAGTTCAGTTCTAGCTCAGTTCTAGTTCAGTTCTAGTTCAGTTCTAGTTCAGTTCTAGTTCAGTTCTAGTTCAGTTCTAGTTCAGTTCTAGTTCAGTTCTAGTTCAGTTCTAGTTCAGTTCTAGTTCAGTTCTAGTTCAGTTCTAGTTCAGTCCTAGTTCAGTTCTAGTTCAGTTCTAGTTCAGTTCTAGTTCAGTTCTAGTTCGGTTCTAGTTCAGTTCCTAGTTCAGTTCTAGTTCAGTCCTAGTTCAGTTCTAGTTCAGTTCTAGTTCAGTTCTAGTTCAGTTCTAGTTCAGTTCTAGTCAGTTCTAGTTCAGTTCTAGTCAGTTCTAGTTCAGTTCTAGTTCAGTTCTAGTTCAGTTCTAGTTCAGTTCTAGTTCAGTTCTAGTTCAGTTCTAGTTCAGTTCTAGTTCAGTTCTAGTTCAGTTCTAGTTCAGTTCTAGTTCAGTTCTAGTTCAGTTCTAGTTCAGTTCTAGTTCAGTTCTAGTTCAGTTCTAGTTCAGTTCTAGTTCAGTTCTAGTTCAGTTCTAGTTCAGTTCTAATTCAGTTCTAGTTCAGTTCTAGTTCAGTTCTAGTTCAATTCTAGTTCAGTTCTAGTAGTCAGTTCTAGTTCAGTTCTAGTTCAGTTCTAGTTCAGTTCTAGTTCAGTTCTAGTTCAGTTCTAGTTCAGTTCTAGTTCAGTTCTAGTTCAGTTCTAGTTCAGTTCTTCAGTTCTAGTTCAGTTCTAGTTCAGTTCTAGTTCAGTTCTAGTTCAGTTCTAGTTCAGTTCTAGTTCAGTTCTAGTTCAGTTCTAGTTCAGTTCTAGTTCAGTTCTAGTTCAGTTCTAGTTCAGTTCTAGTTCAGTTCCAGTTCAGTTCTAGTTCAGTTCTAGTTCAGTTCTAGTTCAGTTCTAGTTCAGTTCTAGTTCAGTTCTAGTTCAGTTCTAGTTCAGTTCTAGTTCAGTTCTAGTTCGGTTCTAGTTCAGTCCTAGTTCAGTTCTAGTTCAGTTCTAGTTCAGTTCTAGTTCAGTTCTAGTTCAGTTCTAGTTCTGTTCTAGTTCTGTTCTAGTTCTGTTCTAGTTCTGTTCTAGTTCTGTTCTAGTTCTGTTCTAGTTCTGTTCTAGTTCTGTTCTAGTTCAGTTCTAGTTCAGTTCTAGCTCAGTTCTAGTTCAGTTCTAGTTCAGTTCTAGTTCAGTTCTAGTTCAGTTCTAGTTCAGTTCTAGTTCAGTTCTAGTTCAGTTCTAGTTCAGTTCTAGTTCAGTTCTAGTTCAGTTCTAGTTCAGTTCTAGTTCAGTTCTAGTTCAGTTCTAGTTCAGTTCTAGTTCAGTTCTAGTTCAGTTCTAGTTCAGTCCTAGTTCAGTTCTAGTTCAGTTCTAGTTCAGTTCTAGTTCAGTTCTAGTTCGGTTCTAGTTCAGTCCTAGTTCAGTTCTAGTTCAGTCCTAGTTCAGTTCTAGTTCAGTTCTAGTTCAGTTCTAGTTCAGTTCTAGTTCAGTTCTAGTTCAGTTCTAGTTCAGTTCTAGTTCAGTTCTAGTTCAGTTCTAGTTCAGTTCTAGTTCAGTTCTAGTTCAGTTCTAGTTCAGTTCTAGTTCAGTTCTAGTTCAGTTCTAGTTCAGTTCTAGTTCAGTTCTAGTTCAGTTCTAGTTCAGTTCTAGTTCAGTTCTAGTTCAGTTCTAGTTCAGTTCTAGTTCAGTTCTAGTTTAGTTCTAGTTCAGTTCTAGTTCAGTTCTAGTTCAGTTCTAGTTCAGTTCTAGTTCAGTTCTAGTTCAGTTCTAGTTCAGTTCTAGTTCAGTTCTAGTTCAGTTCTAGTTCAGTTCTAGTTCAGTTCTAATTCAGTTCTAGTCAGTTCTAGTTCAATTCTAGTTCAGTTCTAGTTCAGTTCTAGTTCAGTTCTAGTTCAGTTCTAGTTCAGTTCTAGTTCAGTTCTAGTTCAGTTCTAGTTCAGTTCTAGTTCAGTTCTAGTTCAGTTCTAGTTCAGTTCTAGTTCAGTTCTAGTTCAGTTCTAGTTCAGTTCTAGTTCAGTTCTAGTTCAGTTCTAGTTCAGTTCTAGTTCAGTTCTAGTTCAGTTCTAGTTCAGTTTCTAGTTCAGTTCTAGTTCAGTTCTAGTTCAGTTCTAGTTCAGTTCCAGTTCAGTTCTAGTTCAGTTCTAGTTCAGTTCTAGTTCAGTTCTAGTTCAGTTCTAGTTCAGTTCTAGTTCAGTTCTAGTTCAGTTCTAGTCAGTTCTAGTTCAGTTCTAGTTCAGTTCTAGTTCGGTTCTAGTTCAGTCCTAGTTCAGTTCTAGTTCAGTTCTAGTTCAGTTCTAGTTCAGTTCTAGTTCTGTTCTAGTTCTGTTCTAGTTCTGTTCTAGTTCTGTTCTAGTTCTGTTCTGTTCTAGTTCTGTTCTAGTTCTGTTCTAGTTCTGTTCTAGTTCTGTTCTAGTTCTGTTCTAGTTCTGTTCTAGTTCAGTTCTAGTTCAGTTCTAGTTCTGTTCTAGTTCTGTTCTAGTTCTGTTCTAGTTCTGTTCTAGTTCTGTTCTAGTTCTGTTTTTGTTCTAGTTCTGTTCTAGTTCTGTTCTAGTTCTGTTCTAGTTCTGCTCTAGTTCTGCTCTAGTTCTGTTCTAGTTCTGTTCTGTTCTAGTTCTGTTCTGTTCTGTTCTGTTCTGTTCTGTTCTGTTCTGTTCTGTTCTAGTTCTGTTCTGTTCTGTTCTAGTTCTGTTCTGTTCTGTTCTAGTTCTGTTCTAGTTCTGTTCTAGTTCTGTTCCAGTTCTGTTCTAGTTCTGTTCTAGTTCTGTTCTAGTTCTGTTCTAGTTCTTTTCTAGTTCTGTTCTAGTTCTGTTCTAGTTCTGTTCTAGTTCTGTTCTGGTTCTGTTCTAGTTCTGTTCTAGTTCTAGTTCAGTTCTAGTTCAGTTCTAGTTCAGTTCTATTTTAGTTCTAGTTCAGTTCTAGTTCTGTTCTAGTTCAGTTCTAGTTCAGTTCGAGTTGTTGTTTTACTCTGTTTTGAACAGGTTGGCATCATTTGCTAAGTCTGACAATTAGTTACCACAGTGTTACCATTTAGCTGAAACAAAAAATCACTAAATATCAAGAGAGTTTGTTTTGTATAATATTAAAACTGATTTCTTACAGCCCTAATCATTAAAGAAAATTATTTATGCAAACATAAATTTATTTAAAAATACAAATTATAAAACAACAACGGAAATCCGTTGGTGTTTTTTGTTTCTTTTTTTGTACAGTACAGTTTGTTTAAAAAGTTTCAACAAAAAGTATTTAAAATATTTGACATTTGCAAATTTCTTTTGGCTTCTTAAGAATTCTGTTTTAATTGCTTTCTAACATTATTGCCAAGAATTCTTGAAAATTCCTTAAAAAAAACAAAAGAACACAACAAGAGAGAATGAAAATTTAAATTCAACACGAGATGTTTAATGATGAATGTTGGAAAGACACGTGAAAAAGATTTTCACACAATGATTGTGAAGAAAACAAATAAAAAGACGCCAGCCAAGTCTAAAGAGGTAAAAAGAAAAAAGTAATAAAAAGAAAAAAAATATTTAAAGCAAACTTTCTATAGCAATTGTTATAGATTTTATTTGAAATTTAAAAATTTTCCTAAGCAATTATAGCAAATTTATTTTATTTAAATATTTGTTAATAACATAGGGGTGTTTGTAAAACAACCGTTTTTTAAAGGCAATTATAATTTTAATTTAAACAAACACGCTAAATTTTTTCTAAACTGCAGCGCAAAGTATCACAACCCTTCATATGCAATTTATTTTGCTAATTTACTAATGACACTTTCACACTCTTAACCCCAAAAACCGAACACAAATGGTGTCAGGGTTGTGTTTAAATGGCATAAAATTTAACAAATTTTTTAAAACAATTAAACTTTTAGAACACAAATACAAAATTTAAATTACATTTTCCTCTTTAATTCCTTTCAGTTGATTTGGAAGAAGACCATTTAGTTTAAAGCAAAAAATAGTAGTTTTGCTTCTTCATCCATAATTTAACACCTCAAACTAATCAGGGACAAACTTTATTTTAGTTTATTTACTTTATTTTTTTTTTTAACAAAAAAAAAAAAAAAAAAAAACTTGTTAATACAATTTTTGGTTAGCTTGTCGAAATTATTCTTAATTTGGTCACGTTGCAAGGCTGTTTGTTTATTTTATTGTTATTTAAGTTTATTGAGATTCTTTTTTTGGGCAGCTTCTACTTAAAATCTTTTATAAATTCATTTGTTTATAAATTAAAATTAAAGAATGTTTAATATAAACAAAAATAGATATGTATAAACCAACCAAATTATTAATAAAGTTTATCATTAGTTCCTAAAAGGTATTAAAATTAAGTTAAAATATTGCGAAATATACAAGTGTTAATAAATAAAATAATTAACATCTGGCAACACCTCAGGATGTCAACTAAAGCAAAAGCTCAGCTGGGATCCTTCTGTCTTTTACTTTCCTATTTTCTATCTATCTATCTATCTATCTATCTATCTATCTATCTATCTATCTATCTATCTATCTATCTATCTATCTATCT